GTCTAAGAAAAGATCTGGGGTAGGGGATGGCTCCCCTTTTCCAAAGACTATTTCTTTTTCACCCCCTGTCTTTGCGGGTAGGATCATAGTCGTCCCGAATGAACTTTGGATGTGTTTCGTTGTCGTACAAGACGAACGAAGTGGCATGTGTAGATTAGGGTCGTCATACAATTCCTGCATTACATCATCGAGACAACACGAGAACTCTAAATCATCATTTATTATTTCATCGGCAAGCTGCCAGTTACAACTTTCGTCCGACGAATTACCACCGTCAAGATCGATTACAAGAGGTTCAATGTCATTTAGCACAAGACCTTTATTATAATCGAGCCCAGCTTCGGTATCAGCTTCCTCTCCGCTGTCCGTACCATGGGCCGATGGTTCGGTATCAGATTCAGCACCATAAAGAAGGGAGTCAGTAAAGTAATTTTCTAACCCCTTGAATGGTTGCTTATCCTCGACCACCGTCTTGACCTCATCATTAGTGTCGACATATTTCAGACATTGATGGAGGGTAGAGGGAACTATAAGATTACTGTGGATCCATGGGCAACCCAACAGTAAATTATAGGAAGTCTCTGCATCGATTACATAGAAGGTGACTTCAGACTTCAAGTCTTCGAGTTGACACTTCACCCGGATTTTTCCCAACGGTCTTGACCCACTAGTATTAAATCCGTAGATGACAGTCCCCGTGGAGGCTAGCTTGCTGGCGGGAATTTCGAGGTGGTACATCAATCGTAGCGGCATAATGCTGACAACGGAACCCGGGTCAAGTTGGATCCGGTTGACAACACTTGAGCCAAAATATCCGGTGAAATATAGAGGCCTATCATGTTTTGAATTCCTGACTTGCATATCTTCTTTTGTGAAAGCGATGCAAGGAAATTTCATGGCTGCCAGATTGCAATGCTGAACTGATGACTCTGGCTCTTCAGGAGTTGGCTTAATCTGAGTAAGGAATACCTCAGAATCAGCCAAGGCTTCTTGTAAAGCTTCTCTGGTATCTTTTGAGAGGCGTAATAACTCATATAGCGTGATCCTTACTGGGATATTAGCCAATTGAGTCATGACATCGAAGCGGTATGGAGTATTCGAGCTTTCCGGTTTATCTCGTCCAATCGGTCGATTGAAACGGGACTGCTTCGGAACTTGAACCTCTTTATGTTGGGGTTCCTTTTCTTTTTGTTTAGCTGGTTGTTGCGGCTTCCCAGCAGCTACAGGAGGAGTTGCAACTACCCCCAGCTCCGTAAGAGTTTTAGCGTTTGGGTTAGAGGTTTCAGGATATTTGTAATGGTATTCATTCCCACCCCTTGTAGCCAAAGATTCTTGCTCTTCCTCAAAAAGTGATAAAGCTGGAATTTCTTCGTCATTCTTCTTGGGAATCGCCGAGGCTTCATAACAGGACTTCTCTTTTCCCTTGCCTTTTAATTTCTTCTTTGATGTGGATGTCGTCCACTGTTCATCTTCAAGCAAATCCGGATGAACCCAAAGGATTTCGCCGTTGGGGGTTGTGTGAGACACAAGCCCTTTTTGGCGCTGTCCATGAGGGTCATCGTTGATGGTTTGCATCTTGACCTTTGATACTGGTTCGGCTTGAAACCAAGATAAAGAAACTGATCCGAAGCTAATAGACACTGCATTTGGGCCTACTTTCTTCTCTTTTGGTTTCGGTGTCACAATACCCACATCAATTAAGGTTTGTATTTTGTCTTTTAAGACATAACACGCCTTAGTGGGGTGATGGACCCTTCTGTGATATGCACAATACTTCGAGTCGTTAGTCTTCTTTGCTTCTTCTTGGTTTGTGACCGGTGGAAGTTTGATTTTATTGTTATCTAACAGATATTTGAAGATAACTGGTACTTCATCATCCTTAAAAGAATACTCCTTCGGGAATCTGGGCTCTGAAGTCTTAGGTTGCCTCGGAGGTTGTTGATTTTGATTCGGTGCTAATTGGAAAGATGACTGCTGCGGTTGTTGTTATGGCTGTTGTGATGTTTGATGAACATCAACAGCTGCCGTGGACCCTCTTCCTCTGCCTCGAGGATTAAAATTCTGCTTTTGAGTATTAGCTGGTGGCTGACCTCTCTCCAAATTCTTTCTCTTGAGAAAGCGTTCAGCTTGCTCACCTCTCACTTTCAACTCTTTCCAAGTTTTAGAGGGCACAACCCCCATTACCTATAGTACATCCAACGGCAAGTTATTATGACATGTCTCTAGGATGAATTCTTCTGTGAGTGGGTCTCGACAGTTTACCGCTTTGTTCCGGAATCGTTTGACGAAGACATCAACTGACTCCCCATCTTTCTGCTTTTCGTCCAACAAGGTGCCGATAGAGACCTCAGTGTCATCGTCGAAGAAATTGGTGAGGAACAATCCTTCCATATCCTCCCAGCTAGTGATACTCCCAGGTTTAAGGCGTCGGTACCAATCGAAGGCAGGCCCACGGAGGGTTCCTACGAATGACCGGACCATCAAGGCTTCGTTTCCTGATATTGCGCTAAGATGTGACTTGAAATAGATCAAGTGCTGAGTGGGTGAACCCCTGCCATCAAAAGGAGTAAAGTTAATCAAATTAAATTTTGGGGGATAAGGAATTAGATCCCACTCCCTTCGGTACGGGTATGGAATGCCCGTTTTCTTCACTTCTTGGGCCGTCATCAGAGCATTGGCTTTGCTCTCGAGATCTTGCATCTTCTTGTCTTCTTCCTCACTCTTCTTCAAGTAGAATTGAGGAGGTTGAGTAGATGATTTGGCCGGGCCGCTTCCGGAATTGTCCTTATCAGAAGGAGGATCAGCAAAGATAGTCTCATCTTCCTCATTTTTGACCTCGGTTATACGTACAGGTATAGCATTACGCTGACTGGATTCCGCCTTTTGGCTTGATTCTGGTTGGTGTTGTTGAGCCTGCAAATCTCGCATCTGCTGCATTGTCAACTCCATCTCGGTTTTGATTTCAGCTCTAATTTCCTCGCGTTGTTTAGCTAACGCTTCCTGTAGTATTTGTGCTAGATGATCCGGCGTGATTGCAAATGATTCTCTGATTTGCCCAATACTGGATGCGGTGTCG